TGATGGGACAATTATGTTTTTTACTCCTCTGTCCCCAGCTCTACCCACCCCACCCCACAAATCAGAGTTTATTTATTTATTTAAAAATTTTTTTAGAGATGGGGGTCTCTCTATATTGCCCAGGCTGGTCTTGAACTCCTGGGCTCAAGTGATCCTCCCGCCTCAGCCTCCCAAAGTTCTGAGATTACAGGTGTAAGTGACCATACCCGGCCAAAATCAGAGTTCTTATTCAAGATACAACTTACATTATCTCAGTTTTCTGTCCATATAATTTCCTCAGAATCCATTTCAACCAAAAGTAATTTAAATTCCACTGGTTTCTCTGGATACACTTCAATATAACTATTTTATGTTGTTAAGTTTTTGAGACATGGTCTCACTCTGTTGCCCAGGCTGGAGTGCAGTGGTGCAATCATAGCTCACCGCAGCCTTAAACTCCTGGGCCCAAGAGATCCTCCTGCCTCAGCCTTCCAAGTAGCTGGCTACAGGTACACACCACCACACCAGGCTAATTTTTATTTTTTGTAGAGATGGAGGTCTTGCTAGAGGGCCCAGGCTATTCCTGAATCTTGGTATGAAGCCATCCTGCTGCCTCTGTCTCCCAAAGTGCTAGGATTACAGGTGTGAGCCACTGCACCTGGCAAATGTCATAATTTTAAAAGTGAATCATTAATATCAGTTTCCTTTAAGAAAACTTTTTAAATTAAAAAGTTGTATCAATTCAAAATATACAGTATCAAGATATAAAATGATGACAATTAGAAGGGTTAGATTGCTTGAGTGGTAACTGCAACTTCGACCTAGGGAATCCTCATCTGGAATCACACATCTTCTTTTCTTTTGCTACCAGCCCCACCTTCCAGACCCTGTTTTACTACTTCATTGAGGCTTCTAGCCCCTCACCTCCATTTTTCCAAAGTCTTATTTTTCTGCCCTCTCATAGTTTCACAGTGCTTCATGTTTCAAACTGGGACAAGAGCTTACTTACCATCAACAACCATTGCCTAAGAGCTTTCTAATCTCCTCACCATCTTTGCCTAAATCATTCTCCAATCTGGAATTGACTCAGCATTTACACAACTAAGCTAGCGGTTTAACTGCCTCTCCTAATAACATATTTCCCTAACAAACCCTCTTATTGAGAGGTGACAACATGCTAGCAGCCCTCACTCTTGGTGCCTCCTCGGCCTCGGCATCCACTCTGGCGGTGCTTGAGGAGCCCTGCAGCCTGCCACAGCACTGTGGGAGCCCCTCTCTGGGCTGGGCGAGGCCCAGAGGGAGGAGGTGTGGGCAAGAACCGGGGCTGTGGGGGGCACTGGCAGGCCAGCATGAGTTCCAGGTGGGCGCAGGCTTGGCAGGCCCTGCACTCGGAGTGGCCGGCAGCCGCTGCTGGCCCTGGGCAGTGAGGGGCTTAGCACCCCGGCCAGCAGCTGCAGAGGGTGCACTGGGTCGCCCAGCAGTGCTGGCCTGCCAGCTCTGTGCTCAAATTCTTGCTGGGTCTCAGCTGCCTCCCAGCAGGGCAGGGCTCTCAACCTGCAGCCCACCATGCCTGAGCCTCCCCGAGGAGCACTGCCCCCTGTGCTGGCACCCAGCCTGATCGACTGCCCAGGGGCTGAAGTGTGTGGGTGCATGGCGCAGGACTGGCAGGTAGCTCCACTTGCAGCCCTGGCGCGGGATGCACTAGGTGAAGCCAGCTGGGCTCTAGAATCTAGTAGGGAGTTGGAGAACTTTTATGTCTCGCTAAGGGATTGTAAATACACCAATCAGCACCCTGTGTCTAGCTCAAGGTTTGTAAATACACCAATCAGTACCCTGTATCTAACTAACCTAGTGGGGACTTGGAGAACTTTTCTATCTAGCACTCTATGTCTAGCTGAAGGATTGTAAATGCACCAGTCAGCACTCTGTCAAAATGGGCCAATTAGCGCTCTGTAAAATAGACCAATCAGCTCTCTGCAAAATGGACCAATCACCAGGATGTGGGTGGGGTCAGATAAGGGAATAAACGCAGGTTGTCCGAGCCAGGCAACGGCAACCCGGTGGGGGTCCTCTTCTATGTTGTGCAAGGTTCGTTTTTTCTCTTTTCATAATAAATTTTGCTGCTGGTCACTCTTTGGGTCCATGCCACTTTTATGAGCTGTAACAATCATCGCAATAATCTGTAGCTCCACTCCTGAAGCCAGCAAGACCACGAACCCACCGGGAGGAATGAACAACTCCAGATGCGCCGTCTTTAAGAGCTGTAGCACTCACCGCTAAGGTCTGCAGCTTCACTCCTGAAGTCAGCGAGACCACTAACCCACCAGAAGGAAAAAACTGCGGACACATCTGAACATCTGAAGGAACAAACTACGGACACACCATCTTTAAGAACTGTAACACTCACCACGAGGGTCGGCAGCTTCATTCTTCAAGTCAGCGAGACCGAGAACCCACCAATTCTGGACACATTATCGCTGTGGGGTTGCTGCTGTTGTTAGAGATGAAGTTTTACTATGTTGCTCAGGTTGGTCTCAACTTTTGGGCTCAAATGATCTGCTCACCTTGGCCTCCCAAAGCACTGAGATTACAGGTATAAGCCACCGCACCCGGCCTTATCACTATGTGATGGACAAAGAACCTCTGAGAAGCTACTCTACTTGCTCAAATCGTCATCTAGGAAAGGGTGAAACTAAAATCTGAGCCCAACCTTCTGGCTCTAAAGTGTGATCTCTGACTCTCACTACACAGATCGGGCTTTCCCTACTGGCCATATGCGCATGGCTTCACCGACTTACATTATCCTCCTAGTTTACTTACCTGGTCTTATTCATCATACTTTACACACCTGACCTTTACATCTGGCCTTCAGACTTAGCTTTCCACTTGTGGTTGTACCTGCTGGTCCTTACCCAACTACTGGCCTTAAGCTTCTGGTTTTACCAATCTGGCCATAGCTTCCTGACCTTGTCCCCCTGGTCTTACCCCCCTGGTCTTACCTACCTGTTCTTACTCACCAGGCCTTAACCTCCTTGCCTTACCAGCCTGTTTCTATTAACCTTCTGGTGTTACTCACCTGGTCTTAACCTCATGGTCTTACCCACTGTGCTTACCCACCTGGTATTATCCACCTGGCTTTGATCTCTTGGCCTTAGTGATTTGGCCTTACCTGGCATTAGCTTTTGGCCATGCCACGTTGCCTTAACCTAGAGTTCCTACTTAGCCTTATCAGCCCCTTGGTCATACTCACCCAGTCTTACTCTCCTGACCTTGCCCACTTTGCTTTAACCACCTCACCTTAACCTGGTGCTCTATCCATCTAGCTTCACCCACCAGGTCTCACTCACCTGGTCTTACTGCCTGCTCTTAACCTTGTGGCCTTTCCCTCCAGCTTTTCCCGCTGCCCTTATCCAGCAGGCTGCATCCACCTCTGGTCAGTGTCTGGCTTGCAGGTCCCCAGCACTGTTACCTTTGCACCAGAGCCCACTCTCACCTAATCTCTGTGTGCTGGTGCTATGTCAAGTATACTGGTGATCAGGAGGCACCTTCCATGTGAGGCCAAGTGTACTGGCTCCGGTTGTCCTTGAAGTTGCGTCTCAGGCTCCTGGGCATGGCAGAGCCTGCATTCCCGTGACTCGACTGAGGCCAGTGTGATGGAGACTTCCCGGCAGCCTCCTGGACCTGGTCTCTCCAAGGTCAGATCTTGAAACTTTTGGGCACCCATGCAGGTGCCTGACCTGGTGTGCCAACTTGCCGTTGGTCTGCGTAGCCGGTGGACACATGGTCAACATGAAACCACCTTAACCCGCTTCCCATCAGGTCTGGTGGGAGGGATGGGGCAGTGCCTGGAGCACAGAGAGGCTCAGTAAAGGGCAGTTAAACTGGTTTCGCTGTGGCGGATCCCTCATGGGGGTCTTTCTAGCCCAAACTGGGTGTGATCCTGCGATAGGAGCTCACGGGCAACTCTGGTTTTTCTCATATTTTATAGGAACGTGGAGTTTTCAGGAAGTCCAGAAAACTGCTCAGTGGCCTTCTCAGGCTCAGTCTTGGCCACCTGACTTGTTGCCAGTTCCTTTCACCGCTGGTGACCCCTAACGTTTATCTGGGGTCTCATCATGGGGTCAGAATTTGTTACTTTAGTTTATTTTATGAAAGAGTGCATTTGGGTGTATTGGAATTGTTTGTTTTATACTCTATGAAGTCAATAAACCCATTCCTGTCTCCGATCCCACTGCCTGAGCTAAGGGGCCTTCCACAGTTGACCTGGAGTGTTCAAGTGCACTGCACTCAAGTATACTCCTGGGTTGAAGCTGCCACCTGGTGTTCCCAAAGCCTGTGCCTCTGAGGCTTCCTCTTGGGTTGTGGATGCGTGGAAGAGCCCTGCCCCTGGGAACTGACATTTCCCTTAGAATAGGGAGATAATGGAAGGTCTTGACTGGCATTTCTGGAGATGCCAGATAAGGCTGACAGTTCCTCTAAGATTCCTTCTTAGGATGCTTGCCTATGTGTTCATATTCTATATTATAAACCTATGGTACTTTTCATTTAACATTCTATTTTTGAAAATTTTCCTCTGTTATGAAAACTTTCTTGATGTTTAATGGATTCTCCACTATTTTCTGGGAGACTGTGGCATTTTGGTAACTGGAAGTAACCACAGTTTCAGCATTGCTCCAAAGACTTAGGCGTTCTTCTGGTTGTTGGTGGAGTTTGCATGTCAGTCATGTATCTGCTTCTGATATTTTATAGAAATGTTTGACAAGGATGATTTTGCTAACTTCTGCCTTGCAATTCTTCTAGATATTGTACTTATGATTATTATTCTTTTCTGCAGGTTGGTCTAATTGAAGGCAATGGAGAAGTAAGTCTTTATAGATAAAAAATCTTAGTTCTAGAAAAGGTGAGGGAGGCTGTTTTGGAAATACATCCATTCATAAATACATTGTTTGATGTATTTATGAATTTGATGATATTTAAGCCTCTCAGTACTCTCAGTTACCCTTATGGGTAATCTTAGGGCTTATAACATTTAGGTGACACCTGCAGATGCACAACAATAACTTTGTTTATTGTGGTTTCTAAGTTATTTATATGATTTGCAAAAATTCAGGAAATGTGGAATAATGTAAGAAGAAAAGAAAGATCACATGTATTTCTTCTGCCCATAGATAATGAACACCTCACAATGCTGTAGACTCTTCCAGGTTCCTGTGTGGCCAGCCACAGTAATGCTGTTTATTTATTATTTTATTATTATTATTACTATTATTTGAGATGGAGTTTTGCTCTTCTTGCCCAGGTTGGAGTGCAGTGGTGCCATCTCCACTCACTGCAACCTCCACCTCCCAGGTTCAAGCAATTCTGCTGCCTCAGCCTCCCCAGTAGCTGGGATTACAGGCATGCACCACCACGCCCGGCTAACTTTTTGTATTTTTTTT